GATAAAATGATAAAAGTAATGGGCATTTTTGAAAATAGTTATCATATTCGTAATCAGCATGCTCGATTACCCCCGTATGCCAACTCCCAGCCCCGTAGCTTGAACTTTGCAAAAAAATCGATAAAATGATAAAAATAACTGATAATTCTAAAAACCAGTATTGTATTCGTAATCAGCATGTTCGCTTACCCTCTCGTGCCAACTCCCAACCCCGTAGTCCAAAATTTGCAAACAAATCGATAAAATGATAAAAGTAATGGCCATTTTTTCGCTTACCCTCTCGTGCCAACTCCCAACCCCGTAGTCCAAAATTTGCAAACAAATCGATAAAATGATAAAAGTAATGGGCATTTTTGAAAATAGTTATCATATTCGTAATCAGCATGCTCGATTACTCCCGTATGCCAACTCCCAGCCCCGTAGCTTGAACTTTGCAAAAAAATCGATAAAATGATAAAAATAACTGATAATTCTAAAAACTAATACTGTATCGATAAAATGATAAAAGTAATAGGCATTTTTGAAAATAGTTATCATATTCGTAATCAGCATGCTCGATTACCCCCGTATGCCAACTCCCAGCCCCGTAGCTTGAACTTTGCAAAAAAATCGATAAAATGATAAAAATAACTGATAATTCTAAAAACCAGTATTGTATTCGCAATCAGCATGCTCGATTACCCCCGTGTGCCAACTCCTAGCTCCGTAGCTTAAACTTTGCAAAAAAATTGATAAAATGATAAAAATAACTGATAATTCTAAAAACCAGTATTGTATTCGCAATCAGCATGTTCGCTTACCCTCTCGTGCCAACTCCCAACCCCGTAGTCCAAAATTTGCAAACAAATCGATAAAATGATAAAAGTAATGGGCATTTTTGAAAATAGTTATCATATTCGTAATCAGCATGCTCGATTACCCCCGTGTGCCAAACCCCAGCCCCGTAGCTTGAACTTTGCAAAAAAATCGATAAAATGATAAAAATAACTGATAATTCTAAAAACCAGTATTGTATTCGTAATCAGCATGTTCGCTTACCCTCTCGTGCCAACTCCCAACCCCGTAGTCCAAAATTTGCAAACAAATCGATAAAATGATAAAAGTAATGGGCATTTTTGAAAATAGTTATCATATTCGTAATCAGCATGCTCGATTACCCCCGTGTGCCAACTCCTAGCTCCGTAGCTTAAACTTTGCAAAAAAATTGATAAAATGATAAAAATAACTGATAATTCTAAAAACCAGTATTGTATTCGCAATCAGCATGTTCGCTTACCCTCTCGTGCCAACTCCCAACCCCGTAGTCCAAAATTTGCAAACAAATCGATAAAATGATAAAAGTAATGGGCATTTTTGAAAATAGTTATCATATTCGTAATCAGCATGCTCGATTACCCCCGTGTGCCAACTCCCAGCCCCGTAGCTTGAACTTTGCCAGAAAATCGATAAAATGATAAAAGTAATGGGCACTTTTGAAAATGGTTATCATATTCGTAATCAGCATGTTCGCTTACCCTCCTGTGCCAACTCTCAACGGTGTAGCTCGAACTTTGAAAAAAATCGATAAAATGATAAAAAATAACTGATAATTCTAAAAACCAGTATTGTATTCGTAATCAGCATGTTCGCTTACCCTCTCGTGCCAACTCCCAACCCCGTAGTCCAAAATTTGCAAACAAATCGATAAAATGATAAAAGTAATGGGCATCTTTGAAAATAGTTATCATATTCGTAATCAGCATGCTCGATAACCCCCGTGTGCCAACTCCCAGCCCCGTAGCTTGAACTTTGCCAGAAAATCGATAAAATGATAAAAGTAATGGGCATTTTTGAAAATGGTTATCATAAGCATGTTCGATTACCCCCCTGTGCCAACTCCCAGCCCCGCAGTTCAAAATTTACAAATAATCGATAAATTTTGTAGAAGTAATAACAAGCTTCCATGCTAGAAAATGACAAACACGAAAACACCATCGAGGACCTACAGACAGCATCAACAAGCATGCTTATCCACCAGCGTACAGACAAGCCACCAGTGTACAGACAAAATCCCATTCGGTTTTATATATATAGAAGGATGACAGTGATTTTTCGATATTAAGTCATACAGGTTGTTATGATGACAAATTTATTGCCTAACATTTCGGCTTAACGCCGTCTCCTGAAACTTAGAAAGAACTCATCAAATGTGTCGTCTATGTATAGGCTGCTGCGGGGCGCCCCTCCCCCCCCCCCCCCCCGAGAACGGGTCGCGAAGTTTTTGAAAGTTACTTACATGAGTTATAAAAATGTGCAAATGACTTGTTTATTTTTGTAAACAATTAAAATAATTCTTAAAATTTTTTAAAAATTCAAATTAGCCTTCCCCCGAGGCGAAATCCTGGGTACGCCACTGGCTGCTGCATAACGAAGGCGCGATATCTTTGGGCGCAAACGCGGCTTCATCAGCCGCAGAGCGCATAGGGCATATGATTTGCAGTCGGCCTCATCTCAGAATAGGCGAAATATTCTAAGTGGAGCAGCGTGTGCACATCGCTAGAGATTTCGAGCGCATAGCGCTGGCATGTTGCCAAGCAAAGACTAAGGAGAGTGGAGAGACGCAAACTTGGGTTTTCAGCACGATATGAAATTCTGTGGCTGCGAAACGGCGCGAACCGTCGCGAGGCGGACGTCCGCCAATCCAATTACCGCCTCAAACGGGTATAAACTTTCTGTAGTACAACGGTGAAGATATGCCCGCGTCGCGTTTACGCCCGCTCAACTAATAGTGCTTCTGCGCCTTCGTCAGGCAGTAGCCTTTAGCTGGATGGACTGCTTGACTTGCTCTGACGTACTGTCGAAAATGAGGAGTCTCAATCTTGTGCGAATGTTTAAAAACGTGCGAGCAATCTTCGAATTGCAGGATGGCAGATGCGGCATTAAATTACTCGTAGTAGATAACCTCTCATTCCTGCTGTTGGATTTGAGACTACGTACAAGAAAAGGCTATCGTACTGAGATGTTTATGAACTGATTTTTCTGCACCTAATGTCGTGATTGATACCGCAAATCTTCTCCATGTTTTCCTTGAGGCTCATCAAGCTCTGCCGCTTAAAGGCAGCGTCCAGGCAAGTCTGGGCCTACAGGGATTTTACGTGGGAAGTAATTTTGGGGTCCTAACTAAGGCACTGTCCTGCCGGCACTCAGGCAGTGCTCTAACAGCTGAGATATTCCTTTCGAAACTGGACTTCAGGATCGCGCATGGATTCATAGCGCAACGCGTGGGTCCTCGCGAAACTGATGAATTGCGCCATGAATCCATGCGAATACGAACCTGGGGTCCAGTTTCGAGGGGAATATCTGAGCCATTAGAGCACTACCTGATGCCGGTTGGACATTGCCTTAGTTAAGGCCCCGAAATCACTATTTACGTGAGATTCCAAATCTGAACCCCACGTGTTCAGATTTGCCTGGAGGCTGCCTTTGAGTGGGAGCAGATTATTTTGCGCAAAATTTCGTAACAGAAAAACATAAAGTCGGGTTAGCGGTCTATTTTGAGTGACGATTAGTCAGTAACATTAAACTCGTGTCTCGGTTCATATGACTCCCCTCAACTATCCTTATCGACTTTACCATGACCACATCATAGATACTGCGAACCTGAGGTTCAGGTTTACTATTGATTTAATTAACATACTGCGAATTCCTTTTTTCATTCAAAACTCTCGTCAAAGTATAAAAGTGATTGAGCTTACAATAAAGCTATACTTATCTTTAGCTATAGAGCAGTTAAGAATGCGACACGCTATGACAACAGAGTAATGGTCATCTTTTTCTGGTGATATTTTATCAGTCACAATGACGGGAGATTAACTTACTTGCATAAATGTGCTCGTTAGTCATAATCCTTTGCTGAATCCAAAGCAGTGGCTGATAGACAGAATTACGTCAAGACCATTCCTAAACAATAGATTAGTCACATGTTGTCCCTCCAAAACTCACGTTTACATCGTGTAAGAGCCGCTAAAGTAACTCAAAATCCCTCCTTATAATTACTAACATTTTTGTACGACATTTGAAGCATCTTCTTCAGTGCAAAGCGGTACAACATTTACGATGATGCGAAAAGGGTATGCTTCTGTTAAACTGTTTGAATTCTCGCCCTAGGCCCTCGGTGACCTCAGGCTGGGACCCTTGAAAGAGTCTAAACAACAACTTTGGACTCAGTTTACATTAGTGTCGGAAACAAGGCATTTTGCAAATCAGTAGTGAGAAATTCACAGAAAAATTGTCACACCATTCAGTCACATGATTTTTCACAAATTTACGCGTTTTGTTCCTCCTAGGCAAGAATCATTAACTTCCAATGATTGTCACTTTTTTGCGAACATAGTGCGCGTGCCAGAAAGATGGTCTTCATTTTTCTTGATCGACTCAAAAATTATAATATCTGAAAAGTACTTTTCTGGTAGAGAAACCTGAGCCAACAAATTTCAAGCTCTTTTCAATTGGCCCATGGAGGAAAGTATAACATAAGTAGCAAAGTATCAAATTAACACGATGATTGAAAATAAAACAAATTCAACAATTCTAATCAACAAGATGATTAATCCTCAAAATCGTCTATCTTCTATATTTTAATCCCTTCATCTATGGGGAATATGAATGGCTCAATCCGCTGGATGACGCTAGTTTTCTGCACTAGAAATAAGAGCAACGCAATGCAAAGGGCCTTGAGAATATACGGCAGGCAATTGCGGCGTAACTTTGCTCCATAACGCCACGCTACGTGCGAGATGTGGGCTAACTCTTACAGTTATGATTAAGTAGCTACGATAGTGCGATGATGCGACCCAAGTCAGGAATTTTTTCATGAGCACCCTGTATGAAATCTTTCTTTACGTGCATGTGACCTTGATTGAAGGGTGATAAACTCAGCAGTTGCAAGAAAAACAGATAGCCTTGACTGTAGCAAACAAATGAAGCAAACATCTAGTTTCAAGCAAATTTATATATTTTAGGTATACCAGAAATTCCTTGGAAAAATAATGGAATACCGTTGTCCAAGTCAGCATCATCACCAAACAATGCGACCAAATCTTATTTTCCTGAATTGCCACAGGAGAAGAGCTATTGGTAAGGGTTTGCGATATTCTAAGGCTATCCACTTGCGTGTGTTATTTCCGTTGGGCGAGTTTCCAAATCAAAGCAGAGGTATAGGACTCATACCTGCGAGCTAGAGCTCCGCCTAGGTGATTTACTACATTTGCCGAAATCTCAAAGACTTTTATAGTCAACTAACAAGGGGCAGCCCCTTCAGGAATCGTGGAGGTGTCAGAAAAGGCAAGATACGGTATTTTATGGTGGACTCATAACTTGTCCAGCATCGTCAACGATACAATATATAATATTTTTCTTTTTTTCTTTTTTTCGTTGTATAATACACAAGCGTTTTCAAATCACCGCATCAAGAGTCAAACAAGCTGTCAACTTCTATGAAGAAATTGGTATGAAGCGTGCTAATAGGCAGCCTCCAAAATGGAAAATTCTGCAACCCCGCTCTTGATCTCCACCCATGTGCGACTTTTCCTCGCAGCATTACAGCACACATACCATAATCACAAGGATAGAGGACATTAAGTCCAGGGCCCGGCACGAGGTCGGCAAATGACAAGCTGGAAATCGTTCTGGGGCCAAAAAGCAAAGGGGAAATCGTTTTTGCGGGGTCCGGGGCAGAGCCCCGGAAAAAAATTGGTAGTTCATGCTCGCTACTTATCTTGACATGTTATGTGCCTCAACAGGCGAACACTGGAGTTCGCGCGCGTCAAACCGCGCCGTCGCTAAGTGCCGCACGCGCGACGTCGCCCAAGCGATGCTATTTGTAACTGCATACATGACTAGTTCTCAATGTGTGTGTAACGATATGGCACCAAATTTTGTGTGCGAACGGAAAGAGGCTAGTGGAAACACAGTATGAAAAATTATGAAAAACTTATGTGAACGGAACGAGTAATTAGCATTTTTTCCGAGAATTTCGCAAAACTGGTAAATGAAAATGTGAATTTAGACGGCTCGTTTGGAAAGCGCAGGTGAACGATATGGTGTGAAACTTGGTAAGTACATGCGCACGGGCTTGCAGGACTTAACTGAGGAGTTTCATTGATAAATTATGTGACTGAAGGTTGTGGCAAACTTTTTTCTGGAAATTTTGCGCTACCAAAGAAATGGAAAAATGGCTCGTTTGCAACGCAGAGGTAACGAAATCGCGCGGGCTTCGGTGTGTATATGCGCAATAGGACTAAGTAATAAAGTATGAAATATTATGAAAAACTTATGTGAATGAAGAGTTTCCTTAACTTTATTCCAAATTAGGTCGGCATTTGCCGACCTAATTCCCACCTGAGGTCGGCAAAACTCTCAATTCACATAATTTTCTCAAAATTTTTACATAAATCTGTTGTACACCTAAAGTTTACTACATGGTGAAATTTTGGTTCCGAAACTCCTCCTCTTGTCCTTGTTGGAGCCCAAAATGGCATCAGCAGCCCAGCTTTCTAAGATAGAAAGCGCGCCCCAGTCAATCGATACGCGCGGGAACGGCGTCTCTCATTCCTATGACTGCGTTTCTTTGATATTTTCTCATTCCCTAATCCTTTTTACTGCTTATTTTTCTTCCTGTTTCCTATCTTGGCACAGCAATTTGAGTAATATGAGGAACTAGCTGGCTTACCCGGCTCCGCCGTATCCGGACCAAACTTGGCACACATACACTTCGGGCCCCGGCGGGTGTCACAGTCCACTTTTCGTTATCGATCGATGTCGATTTTACCGATTTTTATCGATTTTTGGCAGAGTTCACCTACAGGGCTAGGAGTTGGCACAGGGGGGAAGTGAGCATGGGGATTCCGAATACAATATTAGTTTTCAGAATTATCGATTGCTTTTATTGATTTTATCGATTTTTTGGCAGAGTTCACCTACAGGGCTAGGAGTTGGCACAGGGGGGAAGTGAGCATGGGGATTCCGAATACAATATTAGTTTTCAGGATCGTCCATTACTTTTATCGATTTTATCGATTTTTTTGCAAAGTTTGACCTGCGGGGCTGGGAGTTTGCACAGAGGGTAATCGAGCATGCAGATTACGAATACAATATTAGTTTTCAAGATCGTCCATTACTTTTATCGATTTTATCGATTTTTTGAAAATTTGAGCTAGGGGGCTGGAATTTGGCACAGGGGTGTTCGAGCATGCTGATCACCCCCCTTGGGGATGATCAGCATGCTCGATTACCCCCCTGTGCCAACTCCCAGCCCCCTAGCTCAAACTTTGCAAAAAAATCGATAAAATCGATAAAAGTAATCGATAATCCTGAAAACCAATATTGTATTCGGAATCCCCATGCTCGATTACCCCCCTGTGCGAACTCCCAGCCCCGTAGCTCAAACTTTGCAAAAAAATCGATAAAATCGATAAAAGTAATCGATAATCCTGAAAACCAATATTGTATTCGGAATCCCCATGCTCGATTACCCCCCTGTGCCAACTCCCAGCCCCGTAGCTCAAACTTTGCAAAAAAATCGATAAAATCGATAAAAGTAATCGATAATCCTGAAAACCAATATAGTATTCGGAATCCCCATGCTCGATTACCCCCCTGTGCCAACTCCCAGCCCCGTAGGTGGACTCAGCAAAAAAATCGATAAAAATCGATAAAATCGATATCGATCGATGACGAAAAGTAGCCTATGACACCCGCCGGGGCCCGTAGTGTATGTGTGCCAAGTTTGGTCCGAATCGGTTCAGAAATGGAATTTTCTATTCGGAACATACGTACAGACATACAGACAGACAGACATACAGACAGACAGACAGACAGACAAACAGACATTCAGCTTTATATATAAGATTTGAGCAATTTGGGCGCTTTTGAGCGCTTTTAGGCGAAGTGTGGCCGGTAATCTCGTCGCACAAGCACAAAACGTCATTTTTGGGCTCAAGGGAGTATTCGTAAAACTTACTGGGATCAAAGGGGTATTCGTTTTGGAAAACCCCGTTTGCCCACCTTGTGCCGGGCCCTGATTAAGTCGTCGAAGAGGGCGGGCCCACATGGACATTTGCCCACGTGAACAATTTCATGCGCGTCTTCTCCATTACTGCCACATGATATCTGTCCGCTGGGTGCAGCCTAATGGCAGACCTAATGTCTGCTACCCCAATCATAGCGATCTCGTAACGACACGCGTTATTATTTTTGGCAAGAATTACGTCCACCCATAATCAAAAAAGCGCTTCAAAAATCCCTGTTTCTGCCAATTTTGCGCTCTCCAAGAGAGCTTTCGGGATTACTTGGGACGCTTTCAAAACAATGTGGTCACAATTTTGCGTACGAGGGGCATTTTTTGATATCATATTATGCAAGATCCCTTGGCATAAACGGTAAGAGCACGAACTTCTCTGAAAAAGAGGTGATGCGCTGGTATAAAAGAACATGCATACATAAGGTTGTTCTATTTATTAAGTCGTTTTAAAAGTTTCTAGCGTTTTCATAGACCAACGAAATGACTAGATTAAAGGCAGCGTCCCCTAAAAATGATGGACACCGCAATTTTACAATGTTGCAATGGTAGACCCTCCAACTAATCTATCAGTGAAGTTTGCAGCAAAAAAGCGTTTCTGGAAAGCCCAAAATCAGCTCCAGAAGTCTTACGGACGCCGCCCATTTCCAGACTCCTACTTATTACCCGTAATTTGGAACAACGCAGACATAAAGAGCTTTGGAAAAACTCATTCTCGCCGTTTTCAAGCGCTGAAGAGCTCAGATATGGCTTCAGCATGGCGAGAAGGCTCTGGAGAGGTGATAAACCGGAGAGCGAAATTTTGCCGGGACACTTTCTATAAGGCACCGTCCACCCAAAATCTCGACCTCCATGTTTTTGCCGTTCCAGGGCCTTCTCATACCCCTGATTCCGAATTAAGTTGAAAGTCGAAAACCACGAAAAACCCCCGTTTTGCCTCCGATATTCTACGGCAAAACCTCTGTTTTGCATTTCGCAACAAAGAAACGGGGGGGGGGTGGAGGTTCATTCGTCAGCGTATGTACATTAATAAGACAGTTCCCAACACAAGCAAAACCTAATACACGACTGCATACAGTAATATGATAATTCTCAATGCAAGTAATCAACTAATACACATGAGTATGTGATTATTCAGCGTCTTGAACACAAAGCAGGGTAACGTGAACACAAAGCAGGGTAACGTTATGAACGACAAGAAATTGCCTCAAAGAAGTCCGGTAAGAACAGCATAGCAAGGAGAAACTTATGAATTTGCGAGAGTTGCCTGCGAGACAGTTATACCCAACAACTATCAACAAAATCATTTCTCAATTTGCAACTCAGGATGTGATAACGATAATGACGGGTGCCGGATCCAGCCAGACGATGCTGCCCATAACTGTGGATGCCATCACTGCCCATATCGAATGTCGACCATTTCCAAGAAGCGGATAGTCGCGGCATTTGCATTCCGCATGTCGACCCTCACGTTGCGTCCTTCCATTGTTCATGCATATTGCTTCTGTGGTTCCGCGGCCCTAGAGAACCTGAAATTCTATCCTGGCCCGAAGGGACCTCTTCTACAGTCTATAGCAGCTGAGGCCTCAACAAGGGTGGGCGGGTGGGCTCTCAGCTGACGAAAGACCGGAATGGTCATCCAAAGGCCAAGCACGCATCTTGGCTTAAGCTCCGCCTCCTAACGCGTGCTTGGCCAACTGCCAGAGCACGTAGCGAAATTGCAAAACTCCATTTTTCAGAACCCGCAGAGCGAATTCTTCGGCACGGTGATTGGTTGGGCGTGCACGGATGGGTGGGACGAACGTCACGCCCACTCCGAAAGGGGAGGAGCCAGCGTCGCGAACGCGGCCTGAAGCGATTTCCGAAGCAATTTTCTCGGTTCGGAAGCTTAGGCAGCGCGAGTTGGGCAATCATACAGTTGGGGGCCTCGCATCTGCTAGGTATCATAATCTCACCAACCCCAATTTGGGTGGACGGTGCCTTTAAAGACAGTGGCCCGGGAAAATCGCGACTGCCGGCTTTTCACACCCACATGGCCTTCTGGACCAGCTGAGTCCGG